GGAGCTGAGAAGTCTTGTATTATGAAATTGCCTTATGGATGTGAAGTCAGTAAGAGACAAACTGCTGTGGTGGGGGCAAAAGGAGAAAGTTTTAAAGTACCAATAGTAGAACAAGTAGAAATCCGAGACGATGAAAGGATAACAAGAACAGATGTCTTATTAGTACCAGAAGCAGAAGTACACTTGCTGGGTAGAGATTTACAAGACAAATTAGGAATAGGTACTGCCCCAGAAAATGGAAAGATTGTAGTCAAGATCTTTGAATTATCCCAGGAGGATGAAAAACAAATTATGCCTCAAGTATGGTTTAAAGAAGGAAATAGAGGGGGTCTAAAGATTACCCCCTATGAAAATAGAAGTTAAGAGGACCGGCCAGTAAGGATAAAACAATATCCCATATCTTATGAGGGGAAGAAAGGTCTAAAACCAGTAATTGATTCATTTTTGAAGGACGGATTGTTGGAACCATGTATGTCACCTTACAATAGTCCAATTCTACCAGTCAAGAAGGCTGATTAGTTCAAGACCTACAAGAAGTCAATAAACGAGTATAGACTCAGCACCCTGTGGTTTTGAACCCATATACCCTCCTGAGTAAAATATCGCATAATCATAAATGGTTCAGTGTAATAGACCTTAAAGATGCCTTTTGGGCCTGTCCATTAGCGGAGGAGAATAGAAACTTATTTGCCTTTGAATGGGAAGATCCGGACACCGGGAAGAAGCAGCAAGTCCGCTGGACCTCCCTGCCTCAAGGGTTCACAGAATCCCCAAATCTATTTGGGCAGACGCTAGAGAAAATTTTAAGGGAGTTGCAGGCAGAACCTGGAGGAAGAATCTTGCAATATGTAGATGATCTTTTGGTATCGGGAGAGAGAGAGCAGAAAGTCAGAGAGACATCGATACGTTTGCTGAATTTTTTGGGAGAACAAGGCCTAAGAGTCTCAAAGACAAAACTGCAGTTTGTACAAAAGGAAGTAAGATATTTAGGGCATTTAATTAGCGAAGGAAAAAGAAAAATCAATCCAGAACAAATTTCTGGGATTACAGCACTAAGCGTCCCAAGAACGAAGAGAGAGATAAGGAAGATTTTAAGGTTACTAGGATACTGTAGACTATGGGTTGAGGGATACACTGAATCAGTAAAATTTCTGTATGACAAACTAGTAAAAGAAGGTCCAATACAGTGGACAGAAGACAAACGAGCAATTTAAAGAATTGAAGCAGAAGCTAATAAAAGCCCCAGTTTTAGCCCTCCCCTCCCTAGAAAAACCATTTCACCTTTTTGTAAACAC